TCTGAAGATACAGAGTTTTAAAATATTTTTCTCCCGTTATTCTCATAAGAATTGTCGTCCTTTTTTACTTTTTGCAGTTTATGACAGAATTTTGTGAATGCAACTAATCTTGTATATTAAAAAAAACTTGCCGTTAAACTTAACGTATGTTATGGTTATCATCAGAAGATATGCACTCTGACAAATCAATGTACATACACACTGTTTTCTTAAGCGTTATGCCTTTTGTTTTAATGTATCCATTTTCATTATGGGTATATTTACGTGAGTAATTTGCTCACCATTCCTCTGTTTTTAAAACATTATTTCAATGAACCTATTCCTTATTTCACACCGTCTGTTGGCTAGTTCCTATAATGAAATCAATATACGTATTGTAAAGAACATTGCATCAAAAGTTTTCAATGTGATTTGAGGAATCAACGATGTGAATTTCAACGGTAAAACTTTTCAAATGCAAAGTTAGCTAAAGACTGTCAAACATGACCAGTTTCATAAGATATAAGTTAGTGACGTCGTATTTTTACATAATTCCAGAATACGCTTGAAAAAAAGCTTTGTGATACCTCTGATTCCTCTCAATGATTGCGCAATAACGCTGACAAATTAAAAATAATGTATTTAATTTGTCTAGACTACGAAAGATCCTTGTTAAATATATGAAATGTATACCACAAAATTAAGTCTACTGGAGACGAAACTTGTGTGTGTAAGGGAAGACATTTACTTTAATTGTAGAATATGTTATATCAGTTATTCATAATATCATCTATATTCGAGTTCAACTGCACACAACTCAGACCAAAACGTGCAATCGCATAATGCGCCCGGCAGATTGAGATCTACGCGGATGGTTCTACAAATAATTTCAAGCGAACAGCATAAACCCTGGTATTCTTGCGCGTCGTGCGAAGCGAATCTGCGTTCACAGTTTGGTGTTCATAGTTTGGTGTTCAGTATCAGTAAAGATAATACAGTGAGAGTTGTTACATTAAAATGATGTGTGTCTAGTAGTAGCTCATGACTGGATACAATTAAAATGATGTATGTCTAGTAGCTCATGACTGGATACAAATTCCGCAAACTATTAGTGTCACGTTTGCTACGCATCCACCTATTAAGTCGGGTATAATCTATAATCAACCTGTCTTGGCAATATTATCGCGGCTTTGCGTTTGATCTGTAAAGATTTCCGCGGGTTAGTGTTGAACTCTTACTCAAGGTTACCATGACAAGCCAGAGACCGGAAACATAAATCGGAAAAGGCAATCGGCAACGTTACTTAACAAAGGCTTGCCCTTATCACACTTCTATGTTAAAGGTTAGTTCAATGGTCTAAAGGAAAGCCCACGGGGTGAACGGGGCGTGTTCGTAACCGTCCCTATGTTAACAGACAGCGAGAGGGATGTAATCCGCTAATTTTAATTGGATAGGTTCACATCGATCTCCAATCAAAATTAACATAGAAGGCATGATTACAATTCATACCCAAATGATACCTTCCGAAATCGTAAGAGTAATTTTTTATTCGCCTGGAAGGATTGTAGAGCAATAGGGTTTACTCCAAGAAAGAAACCGATAGTAATCTGGCGGCAGAACTTAGAGGTAGATTCTCATGTAAGATAAAGCTTCAAAAGTGTCACTAAGTTATTTGTTTGGTTTTTGCAGAATATTACGGCATCATAACTGTAATAATTTGTAGTATGTACACTTAATTAATAGGATCGTTTAGTATGTAGAATTACTTTTGTGGTGTTTCGTTTACATGCATATTTTAGAAATTGGCTTTAGTCTTATGTAGAAAATTATTAGATGCGAGGCTGAATTAAATAGATTGTTAGCTTGTGGTCAGAATTAATTTTGTAATTTGCTAATAGGTTACCATGTGGTAAACCAGTGAATTTATTAATGCGTTATGTTAGAATTTACATCTGCTTGAATTGTGAATTTGGAAACATTGTTGAAGAATGTAAGATTAGTTACTATGGACGTAAGCATGTATCAGTTCAAGGATATTTGAAAATTTGTGTACTTTGCATGAGTTGTAAGGTAAAGAAATGCATCCAATTATTGTGATATTGTTTAGTATAATGGGATAGGAATATGTACTGATGTGACGAAATGTATTGATGTAGGTATAAGGAGCATTTGATAACGTGCTGTATTATGAGGTTGTTTAACCAACCATACAAGAAAGTATTGGTATCTCAATGTGAGCGAAAGTGTGGCCTAAGAAATGTAATAGCCGTTATCTGATGGTAGGCTGTGTGTAGTGTGAGATGAAAGTGCTAAGGAAAAAGATTGTACCGTCCTTGTGTTTTCACAGGAAGCGTTTTAGAGGATAGAGAACTTCCGGTTCCATTGGGTCCCATGCCTTCAAAAATTGAAGACGGAATTGAGAGTGTAGCCGAGACAGTCGAAGTTGACAGAAGTGTAGTCGCTGGCGAGAACGTGGAGGAAAAGGAGAAGGAGTTTGGAAAAAGGTCGTGGAGGAAGAGAAGAAAGACTTGGGAGAGAGAGAGAGAGAGAGAGAGAGAGAGAGAGAGAGAGAGAGAGAGAGAGAGAGAGAGAGAGAGAGAGAGAGAGAGAGAGAGAGAGAGAGAGAGAGAGAGAGAGAGAGCACAGATGAATACAAGGACACGAGAAAATTAATCCACACTGCTAATCAAGTGATGTATATGCTTATGAAAAGATCGAGCGAAATGAGTGTCACTGGAAATTTGAGTCATTTGATTAGTGAATTATTATTAAATTGTTATTCGTCGAATTTCAACCTTTTTGTATTTGTAACCATGTAACCATCGGTATTGCTGACTGGGAGCTTCACTAAATTTAACTTCCAACAAAAAAGAGCATGGGTGTGACTTCTATAATAGTTTAAATAAAACATTGGAAGCACCCCATCCCAACCATATAGATCGTCACAGTTAGAAAAAGAAAACAGAAAAATAAACACAGCAACTTAGAAACGAGATGAAATAAAAATAAATTTGCTGCGAATTGTTTGAGCGATCGTTCCTATAGAACAAAGTAATAGACCGGTATACTGAGTTTCCTTGAAAATTGTTTTTCGTCATTTAGTGGTTTTTGTTCATTTTCACGATCGAGCACGGTACGTGTAAATCATATACCTATGAACTATGAAATTTGCCAGCCTTTCAGATGGTATAATTTTTCCTGGGCTTAATATTTAGGAAGCAATGCATTAAATGCATGATTAACCTGAAGAGCCATCTTTACTTCCCTGAGGCTATTTATTTATTTAGAAATTAACTAAAATCCAGACAGCTATCGTTCTTATCCATATTGAATATATTTCCAGGTTTCCCTTTTAAGTTAGCTACCCCAAGCTGTCTCCCGATTTTCTATATCAGTTTTGTAATTCCCGCCTAATACTCAATGCAGTTTGCGTCTGATCTAGTGTCATAGCTCATAAGTGTCATCGAATTTTTATATATGGCGGTACAGATCATATTAGGTTTTATTTGCAATTAAAACAAACACAGAGAACATTCTCGTAGTGAACACCTAATGTGTATCATCTTTTGAAGAAAAAAAAATATCGGTTCATCATGATTTACTGCGCTTCGTACGTATGAATTTTCCGGCAGTGTACAAGAATGTCTGAAGAACAAATCAAAGAAAGTACAGAATTTGAAAGGTTCCCATCACAACTACAAAAGGATGTAAAATATCTACCTTTTGTATTTATCAAAGAAGTCAATATGCCATTCCATGCAAAAACACCGTCATTCTTAATGTCGTCAATCAAAACATTTCCCGGTCATTAGGTGATATTCACGTTGTCTATACATATTATAGATTGTAATAAAGTTAAACTTATAAAGAAATAAACTATACTAGTTTAATATTTTAGCTTAAGAGAAAAGAAAGGAAGAAATCCACATCCTTTTCTCCCAGATTAAATTGACCCTCATCCGTCGTCACTCCCGCTCCTTCTCCCAATGAACTGCAAGTGTCACAATATATGATTTGAAGGAGAGTCAACACAAATATATTAATTAAAAACACAATGTAAGTGTATGGTGGCAAAATTAATTTCTCCATCTTCACCCATTTCGTATTAATTTTGCATCAATTTTTTTTTCTTCCTTCGGCGATTTGCCCGAGATTTATAACACTGGATACAATAAAAGTCAACAACAGTAACATTAATTTATCATTTTATCGAGTGGATATCAAGAAGTGGAAATGATTTATAGAAACATGTCAAAGAGCAGCGTGTTTTTTTTTTTTTTTTACAAGAGTAGAAATTCGAACCCAGCTGTGATTAATAGAAACCCAGATTTACGGTCACTGTTCGTTCTCCTGACAATTTAAATCGGACAATGCAGACCACGATCAGGGCAGACCACAACCAGGGCAGAATCTGATCAGCCAGTACATTCTGAATTGTATGTTGTTTGTAACTGCGTGCGTGATATACACGCATGGATACGGTAATTTGATTAACATGGACTAAAAATGATTATTCTCGGCAGCTGAAGATTGACAAAGCTGGAATTAGTCATACACCAGTCAATCATTATCAGTCAAAATTTTGTCGTCTTTTTGTACTGTATACGAGATGTAAATTACCGCCTTACATTGAAACCGTCTTATATATATATATATATATATATATATATATATATATATATATATATATATATATATATATATATATATATATATATATATATATATATATATATATATATATATATATATATATTTGTATGTATGTGTGTGTATGTGTGTATATATATATATATATGTGTGTGTGTGTGTGTGTGTGTGTGTGTGTTTGTGTGTGTGTGTATATATATATGCATACACACATATTAGGTTAAATATAATATATCTGGATATATGACCATGACTTCCTCCTAACGAACAACGTGCTGTCCTGAAGGGCGCTGTAGTGAGGGAGTGTTGTATATGTAAGTGTGAAAACAAATCTAAATATTGCGTTCACTTTTGTCTATCGGAAAAAAAACGCTCAGGTAGCCTAGTGTTTAGAGCATCCGCCTCGGATGCGGGAGGTCGAAGGTTCAATCCCCGGTGGACTCATACCAATAACTTACAAAAATGGTACTAACAGATTCCTCGCTTGGCGTTCAGCATTAAGAGGTTAGTGTTAGGACTGGTCGGATTGGTGTCAGGATAATGTGACTGGATGGGACATCATGCTACATGTCTGCGGCATGATGTCCCAGTGCTTGATATCACTATAAACTGCCACACTGCAGGCATCGTAGTGATACGACTGAAAAAGTGTTAAAGCTACGTTAAAAATCATAATCAGATCACATCACAAATATCGGGAAAATAATATCATTGGCTTAATCCGTTAATCACATGCATATTACAGATTATTAAGCATGTTTTACAATTTTGTTTTCTTTAAATTTTGTCATAATAATTTGTTGCAGCTACATAAATCATCTTACAAGGTAAACTTAATATAGTAAAAATGCCTACTACTGTTTAGGCGTCATTGCCACAAGACCATACGCATTGAAAGTATAAAATTTATTAAAAATAAAAAGTAAAACTTTTACATAATTATCGAGAAAAAGATTTATATGAATTTGTAAATGACATCTGAACAAACGAAAGAAGAAAATGAATGTTCAACAGGATAGAATACGTAATGTTGCACATAGGCATCAGCCGCTCTGAAGAAACTCGTGTAATGAATAATTGCCTGAAAGTGTTATGGACAAACAAAGCTTATATTAATGAAGATAAATACAGAATGCAAATTCTGACCTAAAATCCACATACATGATCAAAATACTTTATATATATATATATATATATATATATATATATATATATATATATATATATATATATATATATATATATATATATATATATATATATATATATATATATATATATATTCCTTGACTGACATTCCGTTAAAAGAGAAATTAGTTCGAAATAAGTGAGAGTAAATTTTAGATATCTGTAAATGTGCACGAAATACTGCAAGGATTCTTACTAGGCAAAATATGACTAGCACCGTACCGATGTGCACCGTACCAATACTTTTAACAAGTCGCGATCAACCTATGCCTTTGTGTCCGTTATAAATCACTAAACATTGGTGTGTCGTTCATTCTACATTTATGTGAATGTAACATCTTTTATCTTTTCTTATCAATCCAATGTGTGATAAAATTTTTTTATTGTTGTTGTCATAGATATGATTATGTCGTCCTTCACATTCATTTCGGTTTTATTTTTCTTCTTTACATCCCCTATCATTCAGTCGTCTACACTAAATCATCATTTTTCTACAATCCTGATATTGTAATAGTAGTATATGTTACCTTGCCGTTCAGGTCAATCAGTTTGGGGTCAAAATGATATCATTTTAATTTATTGGACCTCTCCAAAGTATCAAACTAGGTGATTATCTTTTTTATTGGTTGATTTCAGAAAATTCCTCTAGGCTTTTAATTACTATTAAAATACGTGTATAGCATTGGATTAGGCACTGAATAAATGTTAGAATAATTCATATACATTTAAATATTTTTTTCTGTTATTATTAATTGGTAGCTCCGGGAATTTGTATACTCTTTCAGTATAACTTTAATCAAAAAATGTAGTTTTGTCACAGCGTTTGTTCCACTTCGTGGTATTCTTTAAATTGGCATCATGCAGAGTCTCACTTCTTTGGTTATCATCTCGTTTTTGTACACATTTTATAGAAGGAGCATAAAGTTTTCAATAGTATCTGCTTAAATATCGATGCGGTTACTGTATATTATTGTTACTGTTAACTGTTTAGGATATTCACTTTTGGAATTACTTTATGGGACCCATGGCTTTATTGAAACAGTTATGGACGGATGAACATGCACCAGAGGAAATACATACAACATTTCAGTATGTTGTTGATCTCCGCAACTAGCTAGAGGAAATTTGTAACATGGCCCAGAAGAATCGCCAGGACCCACGAGGCCGTCAAGACAAGTATTACAATAGAAAAACGAAGAAACGACCTTTCGAGGTTGGTGACAAAGTATTGCTGTTGTTGCCGTTAGCGCACAACGAGATCAGAGTTTCTTGGAGGGGGTCGATCGCTGTACTTAAACGTTATCGCGAAGAGAGACACCCACGGAGTTCGTGGAAACCTTAGTTATGACTGAAGAACACGATGGCAAAATAGGATATACGGAAGTACTTCCTATTTGTCCTTTAACGAGGGAAAAAATATACCTGGACATTGTCCTTGACGTCAGAGCAACGTAAGGAGATGGTACTGATGCTCCAAGACAGAGTGAGTTGGCAAGATTTGGAAGAATTCACTCTGAAGCTACTGGACGCAGAAACCCGTGAGATTGAAACTATATCCACTACCACACATGAAATTAGAAACTGTCTGAAATTAAGTTCAAGCTATTATTGATTTCGGAAGCATAGGGCCAGCTAAATCAGCTTATATATATATATATATATATATATATATATATATATATATATATATATATATATATATATATATATATATATATATATATATATATATATATATATATATATATATATATATATATACATATATATATGTAAAGAATACAAATCATATGGCGAATAACAACCCTCTCAAGCGCACTGGATCCACCAAGGGATCACGTTTGTCAGGGATTAATTAAAATAGATGCAATAAACTGACGACGAACAGTACGAAACTAGTAACTAACTAGCCTAAGCGCTTTCGACTCTTAATGAGTCTTTTTCAAAGGCAAATACAAAACATAGTTACGACAAACAAATAAACACAAAAACGTTGCGTTTGTAAACCTCTACATTTCTATCTTCACATGTGCTAAAACTATAGATACAACCAGCTTGTATAGACTAGTTGTATCTATAGTTTTAGCACATGTGAAGATAGAAATGTAGAGGTTTACAAACGCAACGTTTTTGTGTTTATTTGTTTGTCGTAACTATGTTTTGTATTTGCCTTTGAAAAAGACTCATTAAGAGTCGAAAGCGCTTAGGCTAGTTAGTTACTAGTTTCGTACTGTTCGTCGTCAGTTTATTGCATCTATATATATATATATATATATATATATATATATATATATATATATATATATATATATATATATATATATATATATCTTTTTGTTTTGGTACATAAAAAGGAAGGCATTCACCAATTTTGTGTCAAGTATAGGAAAACAGGATAACAGGTAGAAATGTTACTGAACACATATTTGCCTGAGTGACCAAAACGAAAAAGTTTTCGAAATGAAATGAAATGTTATTGACAAACTCCAGTCGAAAGTCTTGCATTTTGCAATTCCATGAACGTATCAGACTTGCCATTCAGGTTCCAGAAGGCGTCAGGTGTTTTCATTCATATAATGAGAAAGTTACTCGAACCGTTATGGGGAAAGAGAGTTTCGAACTTCATGGACGACTTACTATTAGGACAGCTTATATAATTTTGCTGATAAACTTTTTAGAACGACTTAGACTGGGCTAAGTGTTATGTGGATTTAAGAAACTAACCTACCTATATCAAGCCCTTAGCGACGACACATTAAACACAGATAACTAATTTAATAACTTATGGACGTTGTGCGACTGACCACAAAGACAGAAATTCGATACTTTTGGGACCGGCAGGGTATTATCGTCAGTATGTTGCTAACTTTAGTGCCGTTTTTAGCCTATTGACCAACTTTGCAAGGAAGAAGGCTCCGACTAACGTTTTTTGAAAAAACACATGTGAACGGCCATTTCAGACTTTGAAGGACATGCTGACGTCAGAGGCGGTAGTGAAGTTACCAGACGCGACAAAGGACTTTTACTTACGTACTGACATGTCTGACAGAGGTTATATGTAGTTCTATTATAAGAGTATAATGGAAACGTTACTTAAGGTTGCATATGGTAGTAGAAAATAATCGATTGAGGAACGCAATTATTCGGTCTCCGAGAAAGAATGCTTGGCAATTATTTTTTAAATGTCTAAATTGCAACACTTGTATAGACGAAAGTTTAGTCTGGAAATTGACCACCAAATAATCGCCTATACGGTATGTTGAGGATGGCAAGAAAGAAAAGCGGATTGTTTAAGTAGACTAGTGGAGTTTGAGGTGAAGTATTCACCTGAGGACGTTTATGTGGTACCTCAGGTTACATCTTCAAAATGGTGGAGAGTGAAAATCAGGGACTTGCTCTTCAAATGGGTACCTATATTAAGGTGCAAAAATTTTATTTTGTCGCAGCATATTTTGTCGTGGTCAACGTGACACGTAACAATTAACTTTGACGTAAGATCTAGGCTTGCAATACATTGCTGCCTATCAAGGACGGGATGTGCGAGGTTTGGGAGTATAATTGGATTTTAATTACGACCCACCAGGATAACGGTGCGACAAATAAGTTAATGTAGGATCAAGTAGAGGAGCACGACCTAATAGAATCAATCCCCCAGACAATTTATGCCATTTGGAAATAAATGTCATAAACGTAAACTAAACTAATTATTAATAAATGTGGGCTAGAGAGATTTATTCTGATATCGATGGAGGTGATAAAATTGTGGCGGTTAGAGAAAGTTAATGTTAATTGGCTAAACTAAACAAGGGGGGTGTTTCCTAAATGAAATTAAGTGTTTTAATTAATTTCCATTGCAAAATTCGGCAGTAGAAGTTTTCTGTCTATCTGCTGAAAGGAAGTCTGAAAAACTCTGAGAAAATTAACAAAAATAATTTTTCTCGTTAAATAAATCGTCCAATAAAAATTGCGAGAATTTATTTATCTTAAATGATATGTATCATGTATGCTAAGAATTGTTTTTACTATGCCTATATCAATGAATCGATAATTAGCAAGTAATGTAGTTAAGACGTGACGTGAAGTCTACGAAATCATTTTTGTAATTGGCTTGAGTCAACCGACATCGTTTTGGCTAGTAATTTACAGCTCACAGTTCGATGTAATAGGTTATCTAAGAGGCATAGCTTTGCCATGGTTCTAGTTAGGAATACAGTTAGTAGCTCAGACATATTACTTTGATAATAATAGGTTGTG